CCCCCCCCCAAAAAAATAGCTGGGTGTTGTGGTGGGCCCCTGTAGTCCCAGCTACTTGGGAGGCTGAGGCAAGAGAATCAAAATTAAGTCCAAGAGTTTGAGGTTGCTGTGAGCTGTGACACCATAGCACTCTACCCAGGGTGACATAGTAAGACTGTCTCAAAAACAAAAAAAGAAAAGAAAGAAAATACACATTCTCCCATTGTCATCTACATATCAGAATTTCAATTCCACATCAAAGAAGTAATTAATTACAGAAGAAAATTTAGATGATGAAATTACTGCTTTTTAAAAAAATGTGGAATTTCCAACTTTAGAACACACAACAATATAACATGTCAACACATCTGTAGTTTTAAAAGCTTTCATAAACATACAGAACATTTGACAGTACGTTTAGGACGTTTTGATATCTGATCTTCTTTATGTTCAAAGTTTGTCACAAAGTGACTGGCTCAGAAAAGTTCAGTGACTTGCCTCTAAGTTAGCAAAGCTCGTAATGGGAGTCAGGAATTGAAAGCAGGTGTGTTTAACTCCACAGCCTGTGACGTAACCCAGCACATTGCTATAAGGATGCACATTTGACCAGGAGATCAAAATTTCATTAAAAAAAGGAAATTAAAGATAATGGCTAGGATTTTAATGAAGCTAATACTTTTCTAAGTGATAGTATAACTGAATTAACAATGAAAATCCATAGAAAAATATTTAGAGGCAAAGCTTGGTCCACAGGTATAGAGAATATTGTTAAACTTTTCGCACAATAACTAGGTAAATGACATGAAGCCTATGTTACCCAGTCTGATGAAATGTTTCAAATTGTATGTGAAAACACCACACTGTACCCTAGAAGTGCATTAATGTACATAGTTACCATTCAATTAAAAAAAAAAAAAAAACTTTTCAAAAATGTGAACCAAAACTTACTCTTGGGGTGGGTGACAAGCTCTGGACCACAAACACCACAGGGTTCCCTGCGTTCTTAATGGCCTCCACGGCTTCTCCGTGAGACGCGTTCTGCAGATCCACTCCCGACACCTGCAACACACGAGCAATTTGTTTCAATTAGAGAGGCAGTGGATGCTGTGGATAGCTTAATTCAAAGTTCACGTGTATCATCTACTTATGAGAGCCGCCAGAGTCCACTGACTTAGACGACAGCCAGAGAAAAATAAAACTGGCCCATGAAAGCGCTCTGCAGTTTCAGAGAACACATTCAAGGAAAATCATCTTTCACCTTCAAGAAAAATAAATAAGACATGAAACCAATTTATGGCTTTCTTATAAAAGCTATAAACCAATTATAGCCCAAGAAGGAGGGGAAGGGGGGGGAGGGGAGGATGGGGCAAGGGACAGTAATTGGTGGGACCACACCTACGGTGCGTCTTACAAGGGTACATGTGAAATTTACTAGGTATAGAACAGGCAGCCTCAAACTACGGCCCGCGGCCACATGCAGCCAGCCTAGGACATTTATCCGGCCCGCCGGGTGTTTTTTGCCGCCGCTGCCTGTCCTGCTTAGCAGCCGACTTGTCCCGGGTCCCACAGTCGGGCCCTCCGATGGTCTGAGGGACAGTGAACTGGCCCCCTGTTTAAAAAGCTTGAGGACCCCTAGTGTAGAATATAAATGTCTTAACACAATAACTAAGAAAATGCTGTGAAGGCTATGTTGACCAGTTTGATGAAAACATTTCAAATTGTATATAAAACCAGCACACTGTACCCCATGATTGCATTAACATACACAGCTATGATTTAATTTAAAAAAATGTTAAAAATAAATAAGACAAATGCATGAATAACCATAGCCCTAAACAGGTAGCTCAGCCCATCACAGAACCTTAAGATGTCACCCCTGCCACAGGCATAGTGTATATCTTGAGTGGGACAGGGGACAGGGAGGAATCTCTGTAGACTTTTATCATCTCTCCATTAAACTGAGAGGGATGAGATTTTAAGAAACTTCCTGTCATCACAACTGAGTAGCTGAACATCTCTTAAATTGTATTAATAAAGAAGAAGAAGAAGAACAAAAATCCACAAGGTCTTTTACTGAAAGTGTTCAGTATTCGATAAATTTGGGTAAGTGTAAGCAGTTTCTCCTTAGAGAAATCTCAGACACTCTAACCTGCTAACATGCCAGGAAGTCTCCAAGAGCGGACTGTGTTTCCTGAACATGTTTAACAGAATTTTTCTAACCTATAACGTAACAAAGCCTTGGCTAATGTTGGGGTGGTCTTTGGTCAGTGAATAGTGACAACCTGTAAATACTGTTTTGCTATAAGAGGACCAGAAAAAAAAAGCATGTAGGCAGAGAGGGGAGAGGGACGTGGGATCAAGGTGGGGTTTAAGATAGAAGATATTGGGCCAGCACAGTGGCTCATGCCTGTAATCCTAGCACTCTGGGAGGCCGAGTCAGGGGGACTGCTTGGGCTCACAGGTTCCAGACCAGCCTGAGCAAGAGTGAGACTCTGTTTCTACTAAAAATGAAAAACTGAGGCAAGAGGATCACTTTAGCCCCAAAGTTGGAAGTTGCTGTGAGCTATGATGTCATGGCATTCTACCCAGGGCAACAGCTTGAGACTCTGTCTCCAAAAAAAAAGATAGATGATATTACAGAAATAATGGTGCAGTTGCCAAGGAATGATTTTTTTCTTTTTATTTTTTAATTAAACCATAGCTGTGTACATTAATGCAATCATGGGGTACAATGTACTAGTTTTACACACAATCTGAAATGCTTTCATCAAACTGGTCAACATAGCCTTCACGGCATTTTCTTAGTTATTGTGTTAAGACATTTATATTCTACACCGAGTAAATAGGAATGATTTCTGCTGCACCCAGAGATTGGATTTGCAGAGAAGCACAAATCTGTTGATAGAGACAGAAGATTTGGTTTGCGTGGAGGTGAGGGGAAGTTCCCGTGACAGCCTCTATTTTCTCAATAAAATCTGAAACTGGGGCCGTAAACTTAAGAGTCAGACTGAAGGAAAGAGGTACAGGAGATTTGAGACAGTTACCTGTAAAGTAGGAGACCCAGGGACTATTACTGGACAGCAGGAACTAAAGACCCACTGAGAGGTGGGTGGTGAACTTCAAATGAGAACTGACAACATGGCTGGTGACTTTCTGCAGCCAGAGACCCAGAATGAGCAGAGTTGTACTTAACTAAGTACGTATACTTGGTCTCTGTCCTTGTTCCAGGGGCCCAGAATGAGCAGAGTTGTCCTTAACGAAATACAGTATCTACTTGTCTCTATCCTTGTTCCAGGCACAGAGCCCCTAAACCCCTCAACATTCCCCAGGGGTCTGGAATGTCTCCTGTTATTCATAAAGGCCCCTTTGCGATCACACCTGAGTTTACGCTAATGAGGCAGCTCACAGTAGCCTGCCAAGGTGGCCAGTCTCCAGAAAGACCAAGTGATTAGAGAAACAGAGGGCTGGAACTTTCAGCCCATTGAGATGGGTGGGAAGGGAGGGTGGGAGCTGGAGATGAAGTTTGGAAAAATTTCTTAAACAAGGATAAGATTCTGGGTCACTGAACGTGTGAAGTGCAGGGACACAGCGGGGAGAGGGTGTAGGGTCCACATCACCGCGTATCGGCCCTGCCCATCTCTTTCTCTGGCTGTTCATCTATATGCTCTGTAATATCCTTTATAATAAAAACTGGTAAATCTAAGTGTTTTCCTGAATTCTCTGAGCTATCCTAGCAAATTAATAGGCTCTAAAAAGAGGGTTGACAAACCAACCTGTTTGCAGCTGATTGGTCAGAAGTACAAGAAACACTCTACCACCTGTGAGTGGCACCTGCAGGGGGATGGCCGTGGGACGGGGTCTTCAACCTGTGGGATGGGACACCATCGCCACGTACACAGTGTCAGAACTGAACTAAGTCCTAAGGTCCCAGGTGGTGTCCACCCAAGAGCAGCTTTGCAGTGGGGGGGGGGGGCTCATCTGGTCACACAAGTGTTTTGTATTGAGAGTAAAAAGAATCACGTAGGTGAGGACGTCCAGAGCCTGAGTCACACGCTGCTGGTGGGAAGGTTAAGCAGTATGGCCACCCAGGAAAATAGTTTTATAGTTCTTTCCAAACCTAATGGCATTCTTAGGTATTTATCCCAGGGAACTGAAGACTTACTTTCACTCAGTAATTGATATATAAATGTTTATAACAGCTTTATTTGTAATAGCCAATAACTAGAAACTACCCAAGTGTCTTCAGTGGGTGGATGGTTAAACAAACTGGTACATCCATATCATGGAATAGTAGGTATTGCCATGGCCAGGATGCGTCCTCACCCAAATTCATATGTTGACCTCTTAACCCCCAGGTGAAGGTATTAGGAAGTTCGGTCTCTGGGGTGTGATGAGGTCACAAGGACTCCGCCCTCAAGAATGGGATTAGTGGCCTTCTGTGGGAGGCAGGAGATCCAGGCCATCCCCTCTGAGGACACAGCAAGGGGTACTGCCTGTGAATCAGAAAACAGTGTCCCCAGACAACAGATCTGCCAAGGCCTCGACCTTGCACTTCCCCGCCTGCAGAACAGTAAGAAGTAACTTCTCTGTTTGTGGGATTTTTGTCTCAGCAGCCTGCATGGGCCAAGACTACTTACTCCCCACAGTAAAGAGGAAGGAACTACTGGTGCACATGGCGAAGGCAGCGAACCCCAGGAGGTCACGTTGCCTTCCTAGAAGCAGCGATCTCAAAAAGACCATAATGTGCATCCCCGTGACAGACGCAAAATGACATAATTACAGACACACGGAGGCAGAGCAGGGGTTACCAGAGGTCAGGGATGGAGGAGGGAAGGGGAAGGACAGAGAGAAGAAACACAGGGCAGTGTTGTGGGGCTGGTCCTGTCCAGTCTTTTCACAGTGGTGCAGCCTGTGCAGGCTTCACACGGGGTGAGACTATAGAGAGCAGGCCGGGCACAGTGGCTCACGCCTGCAATCCCAGCACCTTGGGAGCCCGAGGCATGTGGGTCACCTGAGCTCAGGAGTTTGAGACCAGCTATTCTGGAGGCTGAGGCAGGAGGACTGATTGAGCTCGGGAGTTTGAGACCAGCCTGAGCAAAAGCAAGACCCCATTTCTCCTAAAAATAGAAAAACTAGCTGGGTGCTGTGATGGGTGTCTGTATTTCCAACTATTCAGGAAGCTGAAGGGATTGCTCAAGTCCAAGAGTTTGAGGTTGCTGTGAGCTGTGATGTCATGGCACTCTACCTAAGGTGACACAGTAAGGCTCTGTCTCAAAAAAAAAGAAAATTGTATAGAGCTACAAACACACATAAATGAATGTGTGTACAGTAACGGGTGAAATCTGAATCAACTCTATGGACTGAGCCAGTGGCATCTCTTGGTGTTGCTAGTATAGTACAGTTGTGAGAGATGCTTGAGGTGGCGGAGGCTGAAGGTAGGTGCACAGGACTTTGGAGGCTGAGGGAAGGGGCACGGGACGGCTAGAGTAGTATAGTTGTGTGAGATGCTAACCTGGTGGAGGCCAAGGGAAGGTGCATAGGACTTTGGAGGCCGAGGGAAGGTGCACGGGACGGCTAGAGTAGTATAGTTGTGTGGGATGCTAACCTGGTGGAGGCCGAGGGAAGGTGCACGGGACTTCCCTACATACTTCTCTGTAACTCTGTAGATCTGTCATTATTCCAAAATACAAAGTTAAGGGAGAAAATGATAAAAAAAAATTACAAAATAAATATTTAAACTCTACCAGTCACATTCCAGATGGTTTGCTTTCATGTTCTGTCGCCCTGTTTAAAAAGATGGGAAAAAAGCCCCTTTGGCCAGGTCAGTCCTTGACCTCTGCTGGAATCCAACTTAAAGTTCAAATAAATCAGTCATCGAAGTAAAAAATGAGTTCATCTCACTTACAAGCTTTTATAAAAACAAAATGCAATTGCACGCTGCTTACAAAAACTACAACTAAAACAAAATGACAAAAAATGGTGGGGGTAAAAGGAATACAAAAAATTATGTACCACTTACATTGGTAACTTAAAGTAAGGAGGATTACCAATATTGACAAAATACAATTTAAGGCAAAAAGTAATTAATAGGAAGAAAGAGGAGAACTACGCAATCTCACAAATAAATCCCCGGGGCGACGTGACATTTTATGCAGCCAACACCAACACCGTTAAATATAACACAGCGAGACTAACAGAATCACAAAAAATAATGAACAAATCCATCATCACAGTAAGAGGCGCACACACACACTTCTAATTGAAACTGAGGGAAAAAAATTTGGTGAGGACACAGAAGTCCCTATTTGTTTATTTCACTGCCCATGGCAGCTGTTTGGATGTCAAGTGGGCACCCAAAATTCAGCACACCCCAAACATCTGCTCCTCCCCCAGTCTTCTCTGTCTCAGTAAATGGAAACTCTGCCTTTGATTCTTGAAGGTAGAAAGCCTTTCTGTTATCTTTCGCTCTTTCTCTCCTCTGTGTCCAGTCTGTTAGGTCCTATTGCCCTCCCTCCAAAACAGACCCACTATGGGCACTGCTCTCCTGCTGGCCCACACCACCCCGCTCTCCCCAGTGATGCAACAGCCCCAGCTGATGTCCTGCCACTGCTTCCCCAGAACCAAGAACGGTCCTTTTAAACAATGTGAGAATTATATGTGCTCCTAATTCTCCATCAGATTTCCACGGCATTCAGAGTCCATGTTCCAGGCCTCCCTGGCTCTGCCCAGGACCTGCCTCTTGGGCCTCCCCCCGTGTTCATTCTACACGGCGACACCAGGCTTCTTGCTGCCCCCGAGCACACGTCCAGCCACGTTCCTGCCACTTCCTCACTTTCTTCTTCTCTCGTAATCTGTCCCAATATCATCAGCAGCAACTGTTGCTCTCACACGGCCCTGGCATTCTCCCTCCTGCCCTGTTTTATTTTTCTCCCTAGCTACTTGTTATAATCTACAGTCCACACATTACTTATTTATTTTTACCATCTACTCTGCCCTCATCACCCTTGCCACCACATGGGAAGGGACTTCTGGACGTTTTCTTCACTGCCATGTTTTCAGTGTGCTTAAAACAATTTTTCAGCATTTCACAGAAAAATATAATCCAAAAAATTGCATGTCCAGAGCAATTCTTTGATTTAATCTTCACAAAAATGCCACTGGCGCCTGAGTAAGATTTATACCCCATCTCCACTAAAAATAGAAAAAAGGAAAAAAAAAAAGCTAGCCAGGTGTTGTGGTGGGCACCTGTAGTCCAGCTACTCGGGAGGCTGAGGCAAGAGGATCACTTAAGCCCACGAGTTTGAGGTTGCTGTGAGCTGTGACACCACAGCACTCTATGGAGGGTAACAATGTGACACACTGTCTCAAAAAAAAAACAATTGTCACTGGATCTAAAGTTTCATTTCCATTATATTTAGAAACTGACAATAGGGGAGTCTAAGCATTTGTCTAAGAACACACAGCAAATAAAAAGGACAGAGTCCAGACTCCAAGGCACAACCCTGAAGGCTCTTTTCATCCTTGTGGAACTGAAACCCCAGGCTAATGGTCAGCAGCATAAAGCTATGGAGAATGCGCGGTCTCCAGGACTGGAGGTGACCACCACGGTGTCCCCCAACACACCTGGAGAGTGAG